TGCGTTTAACAACAATTATTTTCTAAAGAATGTGAATAATTTTAATGATTTTATTCGTTATATTCTTAAAAGGGGGTAAGATTGCATAGAAGGGCAAAATAAGGTAGTAAAAAAAATGCTGCGTTTTTTCCCCTATGTCAAAGGACCGTATAAACAGCAGAAGAGGTTAACATACATCTAGAAACATATCCATTCTCGCACAGAAAATATTACCAGGATAAAAACTCACTCATTAATACGCTTTTATTAGTTTCACCTGCATGTTTGTTTGTAACTGACTCTTTGGGCTCGATTTTGCCCTACTTTAAGTGATCCGATTTAATTTAAACGTTGTAGACTTATCAAGGACCAACGACACTAAAATATTTCGATAAGTTTATTAACTCATCATGATTAGGATCGCCAGGATTAGTGATTTTATTTTAACTTATGAAGAGCAATTTTAACCCATGTAAAAATGAAAGTACCCAAGACATTCAAATCTTCATGAGCGATACGGGGTGCTTTGTATGACATTTTTAAACTAACTCCGCATTGCGGAATGAAACTAGTGAAAAATTATAACGATTGATATCGAGCACCCCACGCTTTTAGAACAGGGACATTCATTATCTCGTCAGTCATTTTATTCTTATGTTAACAATTATTTTTTACTTTTTAGTTTCATTAACTCTAAAAGCGTGTTTTTTAGTTTTTTTTTAAACTGTAATTTATTTTTTATCTACTTTCTTTTTCAGGAAGATAGGGTAAAAGCTTAAAAGAATTGAGAAGAACAAAACTTTAGAATTTCAGTCTTATTTTCTGAAACAGTACTTTATAGATAGCAGATGCGTTTTCAAATAAAGCTAAGGGCTGCAGCTTTTTTTTTTTTTCTTTACATATTCGGTATTAAATTTTTTTAAGAATCGCAGCCGGTTTCTTTGCCCTTTTTTGTTATCAAAAGTTTATTAAAATATAATTACTTGTTTTCAAAATGTTTAAGGTTTAAAGGAATTAAAATACTTTATAGTTCATTTTAAAACTACAGAACTTATTTTGTTTTACTTAATACTGAAATCTTGTAAATTTAGAGTCGCAATATTGAGGTTTTATGAAAACTCTATTAAGAAGAATTTTCTTCCTACAGAATCAAGGCCAGAAGCAAATATTTAATACATAGAAAAGAAATCATTTAGGAATTGGTGATTCTTGCATTGAAAACTAAATGTCAAACGAAAAGCTCCAAGAACTACAGTGTGAGGTTCCAGATTCAAGCCTACAAACAAACCCATGTTTTCCTTACGAAACATTGTTTTTAATTCTAATTCTAATACTTTAGGTCAGCGGTGGACAACCCAAATGATCTTGCGGGCCACTTTTGAAATGCATCTAACTCCGCGGGTAGAATATAAAATTATATAGTTATTATATTAGATGTTCCAAGACGCGCGTGCGTCATGAGTTCGCAGAATATAATTTAATTATTCTGTGAACTCATAAATAAAAACAGGAATATCTTCCCTATATTCCAAAGAATATTATTTTAAAAAATCAAAGTTAATTTTTCTCATAATTTCGACAGTTCATTTTTGAATATAGGGATGCACACAATGTATTTTTTTAATACATTGGTTTTCCCTACTTTGGCCCTTGTAAAAATAAATTGTAATTTTGTATAAGCGTGATACATCTCACAGGCCTGAAAATGTTTAAGGCGGGCCGCGGTTGGCCACCCTGATTTAGGTTGAGTTATTTTTTTGACTTTACAAATTTCGGTTAATTTATTTTTCAATTCCATAACAATTGACTGATGAATTTTTCTAAGAATAGATTGCTTAAAGTGGAAAAAAAGTTTAACTATTCCAAAGATGAGTAAGACCGGTGATACACAGGCTTATTTGGACCCTTCTTTGTGGCATACAGTAGACCACCCTATCACATATTACATCACACTGGTAATCCATTGTTTTCACTAATCGTACATTATCACAGAGAAAATAGCTAAAAGTAAGTTGTTTTGAATTAAGAGAACCTCAAATTGTCAATCATATCTAAGATGGCAATTCAACCTACCCAAAATGCATCACAGATTAGGCTTACTACACTGCACCCACATTCCCCAAAGCAAGCCATCTAGCGGGTTGGAACTATTTCCCTCGTCTTTTTCTCTAATACAGGGATGGGCAAACTTTTTCGGACACGGGCCAAAAATCGAAGAAAAAAAGTTGGCGGGCCAAGATAAATTTTTCTAAAATTTTAAAAAGAATATACAAGCGTTACAATTTAATTATGTTAATGAGATGAATGTAATTGAGATTTCATTTTAAAAGTTCCTTTATAGTGAGGTTCGAAGCGAGTTGTATGATTCTAAGAAACGAGGCTAAATGCTCATCTGTCAGTCTACTTCTGAAATAATTCTTTCTAAGGCTCATAGTTGAAACACTTGTTCACATAGATAAGATGAAGCAAACATAGCACTGATTTTCTGGGCGTGAGACATTAAATTTGGGAATTTTGCTTTCGATAATGATTTGTAAAACTCTAACTCTGGCACATTTAGAAACAACTGCTTGAGATGATTTCTGGATTGCAACCTCAATTAATTCACTCGTTCACAATTTACGTTGAAAGGCATGGTAAAAATATCCAATTCTGTTTAAATAGCACTGAAATCTTGAAATCTGAGTTCGAACTCAAAATGCAAAGTTTTTTCAATAATTTTAAGCTTCTCTTCATTTACGAGGGTATTGAATTTAACCTCGGAAAATGAGACAAGTCGTTCTTAGCTAGCTGCCCAGCAAATAGATTAAGTTTTAGTTTAAAAGTCGATTTATTTTTAGTCGATTTATGTTTGTAGAACAAAAATAGAGAAAGTAAAAGATCATCAGTCTTTAAAAAAAAGAATAACATTTAATCAAAGTAGAAATTAAGATAGATATATAATATATAAATATATATTTTTTTTTAATTTGCCTCTGACCGGCAAATTAAAATTCTATCCGCGGGCCGGATAGAATTTTCCGGCGGGCCCATCCTGCTCTAGTAGAAGGACATTCCGACCTACAGATAGATGTATCGCGCCCATCCTTGGCATAGTTACAGAAGCTTCTGGTTGAATTCAACGAATTTCGAAACTTGTAGAAGAGAGCATAAAGGATAAAATTTGTGCCCGCAATTGTTTTAGTTAACAAACTTTTTTATATTTGGGTCGATTTTTATAGTAGTCAAACATAACAGTTTCTGAATTTTCTTTAATCAAACGAGCCCTATTTTTCAGATGTTTTTTTTTTTTTTTTTTTTTTTTTTTTTTTTTTATGCGCACAGCTGAAAACTCGTTCGCAGATTTATACTGCTCTTGTAAAAGATTTTGAGGGCCTGAATGGCCGAGTGGCTAGCGCTCTGGCGCTCGGTACCACAGGTTTCGAGTCCCGGCGGTACCATGGGTGTTTGTAGTGGTTCGAATCCACTTTAAACCGTAGGTCCCGGTCTAACAGGATCGTAGAGCGTTGCGGGGGCATTGTTGTTCCGCGTCCGTGGTGGCTTGTCTTCAAGTTACACGCGCCCCTGGGTAATGCAAAGTGAGTAATGTCTGTGTGGCGCTTGCCTTAAGGCATCAAAGACAATTGTCTAAGTGGTTGCCCGCTGCATTAGAACAAAAAAAAAAAGATTTTGATATTTTAATACGATTTCTGAAAAGCAATTAAATTAATATAATTATTATGTACAGTATATCAATATGATTATAATATATCTATTTAAAAGCTGTAGGGCCTGATGGCCGAGTGGCTAGAGCTCGGTACCACAGGTTTCGGGTTCGAGGCCCGGCATTTTTTTTAAATTAAAATTAACAGAATTTAAATTAATAATTCGGTACAATTAGGGCCAGTTATCGATGCTACAAAAATATTGAATAAGATTTAAAATTGTGATTCTTGAACGTGTGGACCGTAACGGCGTATCTGTAATGAAAAGCATTAGTAATTCCCCCAAAAAAAAAAGGCGCCTCAGAACCAAGGTTCTGGTATTTTATTTTATTCTATTGCTCCCCCCCTTGATAATTTTGCCAGTCCTTTTATTTTACTAAAAAAGGGAGGTAAAAAAAAAAAAAAATTAAACCTAACTGTATAACTAGTCGGCAAAAATATTAAGGTGCACATCGTCGCTGAATAGCAAATGGAGCTGGGGTTACATTCAAACCTATTATCGTTATTAAAGTTATGTCGTTTATTAAAGCCTATTATGTCGTTTATTAAAGTCCCATTTAATGGAAGGCCGCAAATTTGTAAGCCAAATGGGCTCTCAGATACACAGTGAGATAATTTGTCTCAGTGAACGTTTAAGTTCATTCCGTTACCTGAGTTCGCTTGTGCTTTGCTCAGAATAACAGCACAATAACCTTTTTAATAAAAGGAAAACTCATAGAAGACATCATAAATGGCTCTGACCTTTTTTGCGAATTTTTCACATCAGGGTGGGTGAGTTGGCAGCCGCCGAATTAACTCATTACTAATCTGAAGACATTTTTCAAGAGATTTCTTGAATTTCTTCCAACTTATCCAATGATCAGCACAACTTTCGGTTGTAACATTCGGTTTCTCTTAATTACGGAAGAATATCCGAAAAGTTTAATTTTAATGTACAGTAAGAGTATTAATAACTTGATACCGGCCAGAGACAGTTTTCCTGATTTTTCAAAAGTAAAATCTTCGTAAGATTTATGTCGAAATCTGTTTGTTGTTGTTTCTTATCCCACTTTGCTGGCCAAGCCCACGAGCCCATACGTACCATGTTTGAAGGGGAAGGAAGCAGCTTCTGTTGTGATGGAGCACCCGTAGGTAGAAGTCTCGACTTTGGCCCCGTGACGCTCTTTTACAGTCATAGCAGACAGGATCTACGGCTTAAAGTGGATTCCGAACCACTACAAACATCCATGGCACCGCCGGGATTCGAACCCGAAACCTGTGGCACCGAGCGCCAGAGCGCTAGACACTCGGCCATTCAGGTTCCAAATTTAGAATGCCAACGGCACGCGGTGTTCCCAGGTGGTGACCGCGCCCAATGATGCTTGACTTCGGTGATCTAACGAGAACTGGTATATTCAGCATGGTATGGCCTTTGGCACATGTCGAAATCTTGCGCCATTTAGTCAACAAATTCACTGAATTGCCATCAATGGGGTAAGTAAGATGAATTTCAGAAATAAATTTGATGAATACAATTTATTAAGATTACGTTATTGAATCAACGAAACAATTGCAAATGGTCACTAGATATGAATGAATCGAAGGTTTAAAAATAATAGAAGCGCGTTCAAAGATCTTTGAACACTCGAAAAACATTTTCACTTGCGAATCAAAAATTAAAATGAATAAATTTAGAATAATTCATTCGCCATCTTATTACAGAAATCGAATCAATTATTATCATGTTAATTCAATGGCACAAATCAAATTAAATTATTTCCTTATTTTTTGTTACATATGGGATAAATTTAAATGAAAGAAATAATAGATAGGAATGCAGAGTTAGTTTTAAAATGTCACAAAGCACCCCACGCTTTTAGAACAGTAACATTCATTTTCTCGTCAGTCCTTTTTATTCTTATGTTAACAATTATTTTTTACTTTTTAGTTTGATTAACTCTAAAAGCGTTTTTTAGTGTTTTAAAACTATAATTTATTCGATGATGAGAAGTGCAGTTTAACATGTAAAAGTACCCATATTCCTATTCCTCAGAAATAGCGCCCGACGTTTAAATTTCTCCGCGGTAAAGAAAATTATAAGTAAACTTTTTAATATCCAAATCCATACGAAGTAAAAATCTTCACCTCTCACTTTTGAAACATCACAACACGAGAAATAGTATAATAACCCTTTAGAAATACTTCTAAGAAAGCAAAGATAACTGGATTTTCTTAACATAAAAAGCAGATAAGATACGATTTATTGGATGCATCGGAAAACTTTTCTTCTTTATAAAGATGGAGATACATTTATCTTTCGTTTTGTCATCGTGTTTAAAGCGTCTCAAATTTGTTCAAATATTTGACCGTTCCAACTTTTGTGTAACTTGTGGTTTTTCACTTTCATTTGTGGTCTCGCGTTTCCTGTCAGAGATGGACAGACGTCGAACTTTCCTTCAGGTCCCGGGAAACCATGTTCTGTTTATTTTTAAAAAATGGTGCAGATTTTTACATATAAAAATATCATAAATAATACAGTTCTGATTTAATAAAAATTAACATTTAAATGCAGTATAATCATGGTACATCCGCTTTGAGTGAGTTCAGCTTGATTTACGCCCCTGTTTGGACGTGAATAGTTTTGTTTGGTATACGACGTTTGATCTGAATACGACTCATATATGTCAAAATTGTTACCAAATGAAGGAATGTCAAACACTTTACAACAGGGGTGGCCAACAAATTGGGTATTTGCACATTGTAATGGGTGTTGCAGGTTAGAATCAGTTATGTTTCAGCGTGCTTTCTGTTGGGTCCATTTCATTTTCGAAAAAAAAAAAAAACAATTCGCAGGTGTAAGTTGAATCAAAGGCTCTAACAAATGCAACTAAGACTCTGGTTTTGCTCTGCTATTCAACAACCAACTGTGGCTATCTAGGGATGGTCATTGCGTCACTGAGGTCACTTCAAGTGAAACATAGAACATGTTATATTAGATGTTCCAAGATGTTATTAGATGTTCGCCTCATGAGTTCGCAGCAGAATACAATTGAATTTATTGCGCGAACTCATAACTGTAAATTCATGAATAAAACGGGCAATATCTGTCCTCTATTCGCAAGAATATTATTTTAAAATCCAAGTTCAATTTTTTTTCACATAATTTCGACAGTTCATTTTTGAATAGATGGATGCACACATAATGTATTTTTTTTTTTTTTTTTAATGCATTCACTACTTTGGCGGTAAAAGTGTGATACATCTCATGGGAGAAAACGTTTAAGGCGGGCCTTGTGCGTCTCGCGGGCTGGCCATCCTTTACAGAGAAGTACCACCCCCACAAAGCCCAAGCAAGGCGCAAGAGCATTGTGGGATGACCAGGCAATACCCACTTCCAAAGTAGGAGATAGAAAGCAAAAGCAGCAAAATTCTTTGGCCTATTAAAAATCTGTCTAAATTCTTTGGACAATAACTTAGACCAGTGGTCTCCAAACTACGGCCCGCGGGCCAAATCCAGCCTTAGCTTATTGTTGCTGTAATAAATAGGATAAAAAAAATTCAGAATGATAATAACTCGGTTTTATTGACTTGCTAGGTAAAGCTTAATGACAAGCATAATGCGCAGAAAATTTAACTTAAGCATAACAACTAACAAAAAATTGAAATGAATTCCATTAACATTATAAACTGGTGAACATACCGCGGTTACCCTCGGTAGTTATGTTGGGGTAAAGAGTATCGCATGTGTATGCATATCGATGTTTGAAATGTATATATCCTGAATCAAACATAAACCTGCTGCCTCAAAGCGCGTATTCGGCGACTGGTCTAGAAATTATAGATAATGGCAGAAAAACTAAAACGGTTTTGGCCCTTGGTACTTACTGGAGTAAACAGTATGGCCCCTAAGGCTGGAAAGTTTGGAGACCCCTGGCATAGAGCATTGGATTTTTAATAGAAGTGCAATCTGGTGACCCTCAACCAGGCCCAACTAAAGAAAAGAAGCGGCAAGGGAAAATTAATTTTGGTACATTTTTATTTATGCATGTATTTCATGAAACTGCTTTTGTATTTTAATGCAATTTTTTTTTGCAATGCTAATTTTTGTTCTGGTCGGTATAACTCCAAAGATCTGGAACAGAATAAGGACGTAAACCAAATAAATAGTTGTGTTTTTTCCATCAATGCATTTTTTATTGTTATTATTATTATTTATGGCAAACTTCGAGATAAGAGCCTTTGTCAGAAATGCATTAGTTTGAATGAGGACCTCAATCTACATTCTATTTCTTTGTTTCTTGTTCTCTTATATTTAAAATTACATTTAAATTTTTGTTGGCTATCATGACATCAAGTATCGGCACAAGCTCATTGCAAGTATTTATTCGTTTTTTACGCGTATGGCCAGAAAAAACACATCATTTTAAAATGAAGCTTTATAAAATAGTTCCGATTAGTACCAGATGATTTTTAAAGATGCGTAAGCCCATTTATATATATATATATATATATATATATATATATATATATATATGGGGCCTGAATGGCCGAGTGGCTCGGTACCACAGGTTTCGGGTTCGAGTCCCGGGGATGGGTGCCATGGATGTTTGTAGTGGTTCGAATCCACTTTTAAACCGTAGGTCCCGGTCCTGATAGGATCGTTGCGAGGTATTGTTACTCCGCGTCCATATCTTCAAGTTACACAAGCCCCTGGGTAATGCAAAGTGAGTAACGTCTGTGCAGCGCTTTCCTTAAGGCATCCAAGACCAAGCTGTCTAAGTGTTTGCCAGCTGCATTAGAACAAATATATATATATATTTAGGACAATAAGGCACAGGAGAGCGATGGCAGGATGTCCACTACACATGGTCGTTTTAGATTATCCCCCCCCATCCCCAATTATATTTAATGATCCTGAAAATTTACTGTCAGAGTTCAGATGTAACTAGTCCATGACAAAGGTGCGCAAACTTATTGAATGGTTTGAGCACTCTGAACTAATTTGAACTAATTTTTTTTAATGCTGTACTATTTCCCCCCCTTCTTCAAGTATCTTCAGTTCAATTTGAATCCATTGTGACGAGCTGTTCTTTTTTTTACAGCCTTTTGAAAGTGGGACTTTAATTATAATCACCCTGTATAACAGAAATACTTGATCTTACAACCAAATTTAATAATAGATTTATTTAAGAAGACATTATAATAGATTAAAAATAGTACTTTAATTAGTACTGAGTTAACACTAGTATTTAATTAGCATTAGTATTTAATTAGTATTATTATTTAATTAATACTAGTATTTAATTAGTACTTTAATTTAGAATTACTTTATATTATTATTTTAAATTTCAGCATTTACTTTTACATATAATGTGTATCAAATTGTATAAATATTTGACAAATGAGCGTTATCAAAAATCTGTCCCTTAAATAGATTTGATCAAAATAAAAGTGTGTCTTTCATCTTCATATTACATAAATAAACCAAACATTTTTAAAAATAGTTGTTGTTTTTTAAATTTTCTTCATGCAAAACCAGTTTTTCTCAATAAAAACATTTTTTTAAATAACTATTATGACTATAAAAAATAAAAATCGTCTATAAAAACGTAAAACTAATTTATTTATTTCAACCTAATAATTAAAAAAAAACTTGAAATTTGAAGACTAATTATTTTTAGAGTTAAAATTTTAGTATTCAATTCATTTTTTCAAATAATTGAACGAATAAAATTAAAATAGTCTTAATTAATCAAATTATAATCTGATAGTTAAAAACAACTTCATTAGTTTTCATTCAAAAATAAAACTTAATGAACAGCACTAAATTTTGAATCCACAATTTAAAATTTCGCATATAGATACTGGAACAAATTTTGAAGAAAACGAATAAAAAATATTTAAAATTGGCATAGAAAATTTATTTCATTTTTCAATATTTTGGGGTATTCAAGTCCTAATTCGCAAATGTGAAGTTTGTCTGCTCCATTTAAGCTTTTTGAAAAATATCAAGTGAAAATAATATATATATTTAATATAATTTGTGAACACAATATATATTTCAGTTAATTATTAATTATGCATTAATTATTTATGCATAATTAATAATTAACTGAAATATATATTGTTAGTAATAAATACTGAAAGTAAAAAACAATTGTGAAAATGAAATAATATCATTTTATTGACATTTATTGATAGATAATGTTAAAAATCAAAGACAGCGTCACAAATGAATGATACGAAATGAAAAATAAATTAAAATTTAACCCAAAATGATATAATACAAAAGAAAATCATTTTAAAAAATACTTTAATTTGACTATCATCTCTTCAGACGTTGGGAATAATGAGTACTATTCCAGTTGTATAGTACAATTTTAAACTCGTCTGTTTTATTTGACTGCTATCTCTTTAAATACTGGGAATAA